ATGGATGCAATACAATGATTTAAAAAAAAAAAGAAGAAAACAAACTAATGTGCCCTGGCCAAGCCAGGCCCCAGGAGAGGCCTTATCTGCTCCTGGGGACACTCCCATTTGCAACCTCTGCACGATTAACCTCTGGGCCACCAGGGCTCTTTTCAAGAAACACTAGTAGCTGCCAAACCTGTTTCAACCGGCCAGGCCCCCAGCCTTCATCCTACCCTTCAGTTCTGCCCACCATTCACCCTGACTTCCCAACTGGGTGAGTGACAGAAATCCCCAAGAGGGGGCTGGGATTGACTCTAGACCTGGAGGTCCAGACTCTTGTGTCCAGGAGACCCCCAGGCTGGGGGGCATCCGTCCGGAGACCGGGCCCTCAGCTACATACCAAAAACACCAAACTCCTGCCATCGAGTGGATGGTGACTTACAGCATCTACCCTCTAGGACAGAGTAGAATTGCCCCTGTGAGTTTCTGTGACGGCAGCTCTTTATGGGAGTAAACAGTCTTTCTCCTTCGGAGGGAGATGCTGACCTTGTGGCGAGTAGCCCAGTGTGAACCCGACACCACCCACCACCATGGCTCCTCTACGTGGCTACAATGCCTGTAACAATCCAGTGGAGGTCTACAGAGAACAGAGGGAGGAGAGGTGTGAGCAACCGGTAGCGCCTTCCTCCTACAGCACCCAGAGGCTGCGTGGGGTTTGGTGGGGAGCAAGGAGAAGCATGGGTCACTGTGCCATTTGCAGAAGCAGCGGTGGGGCCTGTGTCAATGGATAGGCGGGACTCCTAGGAAGAATGTTGCATGATGACAGGTGCCACCCCATGCATGGCCTTCCCAGCGTGATTTCCAAAAGGCAGAGTGCAGTAAAGGCCTGTGAGAATGGCCCTAGCGAGCCACACCCTGCCCTTGGGGAGCTCACCCTGTCAGCATGCAGGCCACTTCAACAGACGGGAAGCCCTGAGAAGGTGCATAGATACCAGCAGGCCAACAGCAGAGTTATGTCTCAGGCTGCGACCCATTCCAAGCTTCCCAGAAGCCCACCCCATGCCCAGAGCCAGAGAAGGAAGGAGTCTACCGCAGGGCTTCCGCCAATCTTCAAGTGCCAAGGATAAACTATGCCGGCTAGGGGACCGAGCCCAAGCTGGACGGAGAGATCCCAGGACACCTCATGACCGCAGGGATTGCCATCGCTGCCCAGGGAAAAGACCACGGAGACGAGCTTCTGGTGCCTTCTCCGGTCATTTCTATGGGATCTTGGACAAGAGGACAGGACAATCAGAAGACAGGATGGGTAGAGTCAGAAAACTTGGCGAGCCAGCCTGGAACACTTGCAACGCTTCAAGCAACATGTGTGGAGCAAGCAGAAGAGGAAGTGGGCACTAGCGGCTAGCACAGGTTCACCAGGAACAAGTCATGCTCAGCCTGGTGCGTCTCCTTTTCCAGAGGGGCCGTGAGAGCCTTGAAGTTTGGTGGAATGCGGTACATCTAGATTGCGGCAAGGCAGCTAACTGATGGGCTTGTAGAAATCCATGTGGACAAGACAGAAAAGTGGGGCAGAGTTGGAAGGGGCTGGATCCACGCAAGGCGTTGCGATCTTTATCCACTGGACTGAAGTCCTATGATCAGCATGCCAAAGCCTGGCCTCTTCGGTATTCTCATCAACAATGCTGGCTCTCCATGTCACAGAGTCCATTCGACTCGCAGTGACCCAACAGGACAAGGTAGAACCACCCCGATAACGGTTTACCAGAGTAGAAAGCCCTGTCTTTCTCCCTCAGAATGGCTGGCGGTTTCAAACTACTGACCTTGAGGCTAGCAGGCCAAAGCACCACCACGAAGCCACCAGGGCTTCTGATCCACAGCAGTGAGGACCGCGGACGGCTCACTGCTCGAAGGTGGGGTGGGGGGGGGGGGTTGTCATGTTGGGGAAAAGGAGGATGGGATAGGATGGCAGCTAACGCACGCTATCAAGACTCCAAACCATTTGGACAAGGGGCCCAAAGGAGCAAGAGGCAGGCATGCTTTTACATGTC